CATTGACGCATCATACCTTCGCATTCGACGAGGAGCTCCAGCAACACTTCATCAGGGGCTATGAGTCTGATCCMGAATTCGCCACGCTATATGCGCAGCTATCCTCGGATCACCCACCGGCCAGCCACTATCGCATTGCCGATGGGTACTTGCTCCTACACTCGCGGGGCAAGGACTTACTATGTGTCCCTCGCGACCGCCGATTACGGACTCGCCTCCTTGGCGAGTATCATGATGGGCGACTCGCCGGYCATTTCGGGGTCAACCGCACTATTGCACGACTACGACAGCGATTCCGATGGCCTGACCTCATCACCGACGTCACGAAGTATTGCGACTCATGCGAAGTTTGCCGACGAAGCAAGCCCCGCAACCGKAACCCTTACGGCGAGCTGCGTCCGATGTCGATCCCGCAGGAACCCGGTCTCTCCATYGCCATGGATGTCACCGGACCATTCCCCCGCGACCGCCTCGGACACGACGGCATTCTCACGGTTGTGGACCGTTTGAGTAAGTACGCGCGGTTTCTCCCTTGCAAGTACTACTCCACGGCTCCCGAGTTGGCACGTCTCCTACACACAGGCTGGATCTGCGGCCATGGTGTTCCGGAGGACATAGTCAGCGACCGCGACACCCGCTTCATGTCGGCATTTTGGACTGCACTCATGCAGGAGTCCGGCACGAAGATGAAACCAAGTTCGGCTCGGCATCCACAGACGGAYGGGCARACGGRGCGAGCACATCAGACGGCTCAGATGATGCTTCGTACGCTCATTCGTCCGGACCAGAAAGATTGGGTTGACCGCCTCCCCGACATCGAGTTCGCCTACAACACTTCGGTGCACCCGGCAGTCGCCACCAGAGGCCTCTATGGCATTTGCAGGCCCGCCTTCACTTAGGGCGGGCACGAGGCTTGGTTGGGGTCTGAGCCCACCACAGATACTTGCTGGCTGGACCCCGTTGAGGAGTCAGTCCTCACACCTTCTTCTGCAATTTTTACATCCGATTCGTCAATTGATCAATTTTTGAAAGTGGTTTTGTATAAGGTGGCGAGGGAAAAGCTTTCTATCAACCATACTAGTTACCTAACAATATAAAACGAAATGACCACTCATTTAATTCCATCTCATAAATTGAACCAAGAGTCCAAAGGTCTATAAATAACACATCAGAGATTGCATTACCATGATGCAAAGATTGCAGGTACCTGTTTTCCATCAACGTTAAGAGTGTGCTCATGCATGCACACATGTGTGTGTGTGTGTGTGTGTGTGTGTGTGTGTGTGTGTGTGTGGCATACTGAGTACCCACACGGGCCTGCAGGGCCCGAACCGCGGCCGCAGCCTGAAAGCCTCAAAACAAAGGCTTACAGGCCCCGGCGACGGTTCAGCCTGACAACCGATTTCAGGCCCTACAGGCCCTAAAACGGTTGCCAGACTGAAAGTCTGACAGGGCCTGTCAGACCAGGGCTTATAAGCCCTCAGACCAGACTTCCCTACGGAAGCTTCCGGAAGTCCCTACCGGAAACTTCCAGGAACTTCCGCAGGGCCTGGCACGCGGAGGCATTGGCAAGAGCAGCCTCCCGCACATCGGCAGCGGCTAGGAGCAGCCTACCGGCCTACTGCACGGGCAGTTTCCATATAGGACTGGCCCGCCCTGCAGTAGGCAGGCATTATCCTACGGAGCCAGCAGTAGTCTTCAGGATTAGCGGAGCAGCACTCAGGAGGAGCGCTGCTCAGGGGACTTAGCGCTAGGTAGTCTTCGGCGCTGGGCGCCATAGCTTAGTCTTCAGCGCAGGGCGCTATGCAGCAGTAGTAGTAGTGAGATAGGAGGAGTACGGGCGGAGGCCCGTGGTACTTACCTGTGACGCCATCGCTCCAGCTCCATCTTCGAGGTACCTGCATCAAGGCGCCAGCTTTCAGGTTAGTACCGGACTACGAGAGGGAGAGAGAGTTCTTCTTCTTCTTCCTCTAAGTCCACTTTCTCTTCTCCCCCTCTCGCTGCCTACTTCTGGATACCTGTGGACCACGAGAGAGAGAGTTATGACCTGAGACTTCACGACATTGGATTCAGACTTGGTAACGGGATTCAGACATTCGACGGGGTTATTTGGGATCTGATACGCAGACTTGGTGTTGGCTACATCTCCCATCTTCTCCCCCTCTGTCTCTTCCCTCCTCCTCTTCGTCTGTGTATGCTGGGTCTGGCGCAGTCTTTCTGTGTGAGCGCCAGCCCATCCCACCTTGTACGATGATGATGGACATCGAGACTGCATGGCTGTATTGATTGTTGTCGGATCATTGGTATCTCAGTCTTCCGCTTCGCTATCTTATGCTTTGTGAGAGAGGTCGGTTCTTGTTCTGTCTTGCACGATACAGTATGCAACAGTGTGTGTGTGTGTGTGTGTGTG